TGCCCCTGTGGCTTCCAGCCACGAGGCGAAGTGGTCTCCGCTTGGCTCCTCCAGGGCAGGCCACGCGCCCCCAGAGCTCGCTCTGGCCGCTAGGAAGCCCCTGCCCGGCTGGTCTGCAGGTTTACAGGCGCTGGGAGGCCCTGCTGCTGTTCCCTGGCACCATCCCCTGGCATTTGCTCCTGGTGTCAGCACTGCATGCTCACAACATGATTTCTGGGTCCATCTGCCTTCTTGCTTTTCTCCCCAAGGGACTTCGGTGTCACAGCCACGCTGAAGATGTGGCCCCTGTGGCTGGACACCGGCTGTGGCGAGACTGGAGGAGAGCAAGGCCGTCACCACCTGGCGCTGGGCGTGACTGGTTTTCAGCCGTGATACTGGACTAGTTTCGCTGAGATTCCCATCAGTGAAACTGCTACATTTTTTAAACATATGCTTTGATAAAGTGTTTTAATACAGAGACTTAAACGCGGTTACCCGGCGGGTGTCTGGCGAATCCCGCTGCGGGTGCTGCGGGGCACCTCCAGAGGCAGGCGCTTCCCGCTACCTCCCTGCGAGGGACGGCGCGCTCACGGCTCTCTCCCCTCAGGGCACCTCTGGCGGAGTGCTGAGGGGCGCGGGCCATCAGAAGATGGGTGCCTGCCTGAACGCCGTTGGCTATTACCTTCTCGGTTTTCCGCTGGGAGTCTCTCTGATGTTTGCTGCTCAGCAAGGGATCGTAGGTACGTGTCTGCCTTCTCGGTGACGCACCTCTGACCTCACTCGTCACCTGAGGGTAAACTCGAGACACAAAGAGTCTGACTGGAAGATGGCCCCTGTGGGGAGGAAAAATGATCTTCCCCCTCAATAGTTACTTTGCACACAGAATGTACAAAGTGTGTCTTTGTTACGTTACTACTGCACAGTAAGTTGTACACAGAAACCCTGGAAACGTAGTCTTGAAGAGAAGACACGTGGTCCCGCCCTCAGGGTGGGACCGACAGTCAGCGGTGTTTCACAGTTGCTCCGTCTGGGCTGGGTCCCCCCAGAGGGAAGGCCTGGGCGCCATGCGCACCTGTGGCAGGTTGGAGGGAACCGGCTCAGAATAGCTCTGCGAGGCCACGATGCCTCAGCTCAGAACCGAAACGGGACCAGGATTACACAGATGAAGGGAACAGTGTTTGTTGAAAAACTGCTCTTTCTCTGTCGAATGGTCTTGGGGTCCTCGTGGGAAATCAGCCGGCCCCCGCGGTTCGGGGCTCCTGCCGGACTCCAGGCCGCTGTGCTGGTCCGTGCGCCTGGCCCACGCCAGGGCCTCACTGCTCGCCGTGTAGTAAGCTCTGAAACCAGAATGTGCTTTACTGTCCTTCGGGTCGTTCTCTTTCCATTTTGTTTTGGCTGCTGAGGACCAAATATGGGGATCAGCTTCTCCACGTCTGTGGAGCAGGCTGCTGGGCCTTAGACGCTTCGGGGAGCGTGCTGCCCGGGCACCAGAGTCAGGCCCTCCGGCCCACGAGCCCAGGGCCTTTCCGTTCCTTTCGGGCTTTGATTTCTTACACAGTGTTTTGGAGGTTTCTGTGTAAAAGTCTTTCACTTCGTTGGTTAAATTTATTCCTAAACATTCTATTCTTTTGGGTGCTATTGTAAATGGAATTATTTTCTTGATTTCCTTCTCTGGTTGCTCACGGCTGGCGCGTTAAGCGCAGCTGGGTTCTGTGGGCTCTCGTGAGCCTGTTGAGCTCACGGCTTAGCCCCAGTGCCCCGTGTGTGCGACTTCTCGGGGTTTTCCACACCCAGGGTCGTGTCGCGTGTAGGCAGAAACAGTCCCACTCCGTCCTTCCCAACTTTGATGTCTTTTCTTTTCCTTGCCTTCCTGCTCTGTGATGGAGTCTCAACGTCGTGTATGTAATCTCCTCCAGCACTTTTATTTTCAGTTAAAACATAAGGTAAAGCTACACTCCATAGGATGTGAGAGAATCTTCACGAAGAGCCGTGTCAGAGCTACGTCATGTCACTTAAGTTTGTGATGACGTCAGTGGACGTTCACTCCACTTTACTCACGGAGAAGCCGGAACCTGAAGGGGCGAGGGGACGGTGAAGTGACGAGACAAGATGTGAACCCAGTGCCACCCCGGTCAGCGCGGCGCACGCTGTCTCTCCCTGAGGTTTCCGGTCCCTCGCTCACCCCACAGACCATCGCTGAGCACCCGCGTGGCCGGCCCCGCGCGGTGCTGGCCTCTGGGGACTGTCTCTGCGCGCTCGCGCACCAGGCGCTTGGTTTTCTCTGCTCCTCGTTCTCTGGCACGTCCCACCTGCTGCTCTGGGGAGGGGCCGTCCCCGAGGCCCAGAGCGACGCTCTTGCTCCGCCCCCCTCGGGAGGCTCAGGGCGGCCTCTCCTCGGTGCCCGAGCTCTCCCTGCCCCCTGCTGCTCACGGCTGCCTTGCCAGCGCCCCTGGTTCCCAGCCCTTTCTGGCTCAGTCCCCCGGGCTCGAGAACTCTGCCCTACTGAGGCTGCCAGTCTCACCAGCTCTGTCTCTGCGACGTCCTTCCTGTCAGAGAAAGGGAGGCTCACCCCGCCTGCCGGGGAGGAGGCGAGGAGCCTGCAAGGGCCGGTCCTAGTCTTGGAGTTTCTCACCTCCGGCAGACCCTGCACGGGCTCGCCGAGTACTCACCTCTCTCAGGAGGGGCTCCTGCTCGGCGCCTGCTTCCCTGCAGGGGTGTGGGTGGGGTGCTTGAGGCTGACTGTTCTCCAGACGCCTCATTTCTTCCTCAGGCAAATTCTTCCCTTCTGGGTTTGGCCTGAAGACAGCGCCAGGAGCTCTCTGTCGGCAGAGAATAAATGCGCTGCTGCCAAAAGATGCGGGCGGCGGCTCCAAAGGCCACCTGTCAGCTGGTCTGCGGCCCGGACGCCACCTGTGTTTCACATGTAGCTGCACCTCGGACATGCCTGGCGTTTATGTTCAGTGTCTGGTGAACGTTCTGGAAATGTCAGCCACTGCTCAGTCACGTCCTCACCCCTCTCCTCGTGGGGTTTCTGCACGTTTCCTGTCGGGCCCCCCTCAGATGTCTCACCTTCCCGTGGCCATTCTGGATGAGGCCTTCCTCTCCGTCACGCATCCTGGGCGGCGCCGTGTGTGCAGGGGCCGTGAATCCCATGCGTGACCGCTGAGTCTTGCACAATTAGGAACTCCTCCTACGTGAGGCGTTTTCGGTCGACTCCCGCGGGTCCTCCAGACGTACAGCCACAGCCTCTCCAGACGGCTTTACGCCCTCCTTAGCAGATGCGACGCCGCGGATTTCCCCCTCCTGCCTCTAGCGGTGGGACCAGCTGTGGTGTCAGCCCAAAGGCTTGTCTTTTTTTTTTTTTAGGACTTTAGAGATGATGCTTCTGATGTTTCTGTACTAAATGGGTGGCATTCTGGTGCTGACATACATACGCAATGTAAACACACATAAATTTGTGCGTGTTTTTTAAAATCAAGTTCAGCAAGTGTCCATGGAGTCTGCTTCACTGCATGTTTCCAACAAGGACGGCTGGACGTCCTGGCAAACGGACATGTCACGTGTGAACAGGGGCCACTCTGCTCCTTCCTTGCTGGGGTTCACGCCTTTCCTCGTTCTCGCCTTGCTCTTCTGCAACAGGATTTTAACACATTTTTCTATATATTCCTCTAGTACTTTTATTTTTAATTAAAAAAACACTTTTTAGTGCCTTTGGAGGTGACCCGATAAACGTTCTCCTTACATCTCCTGACATTAATATGTTTACTCACAGTGAACAGTCTTGATTATGATGTGCTGTTCTTTTGTTGAGCTGGTGGATTCTGGTTTTTTAAATTTTAAACTGAAGTACAGTCAGTTACACTGTGTCAGTTTCTGGTGTACAGCACCCTGTCCCAGTCACGCACACACATACATACGTTCATTTTCATATTTTTTTCATTAAAGGTTATTACAAGACATTGAACATAGTTCCCTGTGCCATACGGAAGAAACTTACAAAAAAGATCTTTTTATATATAGTGGCTAGTATTTGTAAATCTCAAACTCCCAAATTTATCCTTTCCCACCCCTTACCCCGGTAACCATAAGATTGTTTACTGTGTCTGAGAGCCTGCTTCTGTTTTGTAGATGAGTTCATAGTGCCTTTTTTGTTTTTTAAGATTCCACGTATGAGTGGTTTCATATGGCATTTTTCTCCTTCAGGCTTCACTTAGAATGACGGTCTCCAGGTCCATCCATGTTGCTGCAAATGGCAGTACTTTATCATTCTCTGTGGCTGAGTAGTGTTCCACTGCACACAGACACCGCATCTGCTTTACCCAGTCCTCTGCCAATGGACGTGTAGGCTGCTTCCGTGTCTTGGCTGCCGTAAGCAGTACCGCCGTGAACATTGGGGTGCAGGTGTCTTTCTGAGTCAGAGTCCTCTGGATGTGTGCCCAGGAGTGGTGCCGCTGGATTTTATGGTAACTCTGTTTTTAGCTTTTTTAGGAATCTCCATACTGCTTTCCATAGTGGCTGCACCAATTTACATTCCCACCAACAATGTAGGAATAATCCATTTTGGAAAGGCTTGGTGGAATTCTGTGAGACGGTCACGTCTGGTGCTTTGGGGGAGTTTACTGTTAACGCTCACGAAGGCTTTCTTTTGGCAGGGGGTCAACTTTGGCAAGTGATACACATTTGCAGAAATGTGTCCCCTTCATCAGGGTTCTACAGACTCTGCACAGAACTGTGCAGGACAGCCTGTCGCGTGTGCTGGGGGAGCCGCTGTGTGTGTTCTGCATGCCGACCACGTCTGCGCCTTCGTGGGCTTCCTCAGTAACCATGAACTTCACTTTCTTTAGGAGAAAACAGTCTGACTAGAGGACCGACCGAGTGCTGTGGTGCGTGTTCAGGAGGCTCCTTTTGGTCTGTGGCCAGGACATTTTCACCGCGTACAAAATCGATCGGGATGTGTCCCCATTGCCCTGTGAAGTGCTAATCCCATGACTATCCCGGGGGCCTTCTCCCGTCCACACGGACGGAGGTGCCTAGGGATGTCGTCACTCGGTGGCTTAGTGAGTAACTGTCTTCACTGTCACCTCTCTTTTGAACAAGGACCAGGACAGACTGGGAGCCTGTGGGCTCTTTGATGAACGTCAGGCTGGAGTCTGTCGTTCTCTGTTTGGGACACAGAACCGCCACGTATTTCTTACTGTCTCTTCTCTACCAAGCGCCATCCTGCACACCAGGGCGAACCCGTTCAACCAGACAGCAAGGGGCTGCTGGGTCTCACGGTTCAGCTTTCCTGGAAAAAGGCAAAGAACATAAACCCCTCTCCTCTGTTGGACTCTAAGCTCCTTCAGAATAAGAGCACGTCCGATCTCCCTCTCTGTCCATAAAGGTGCTTCTTGCTGTGGCAGTCACAGGTGCTCAGATTTGTTAAGTTACACTTTCAGGCTGTTACAGTCAGAGGTTAATTGTGCAGAGGTTCTGTGAAATGCATAGAAGTATAAAGGAGAAACTTAAAATTGCTTCTGGCTCACACCTCACATGTAGGAGCTGAGGCGCTTCAGTGTATTTTATTCCAGTATTTCCTGTTATACACGAGCGTGGGGCTGCACTGAGTAACTGCCCCCGCCCCACGGTAAAGGCGCGGCTTTAGGAACTGCGACAGCTCCTCGTGCCGTCTGTCTACCGCCTCCCCGCCTACGCCACGCGGCGACAGCATCCTGGGTTTGACGGCTGACGGCACCCCCGCCTCTCTCCTGGGGCTGGATTCCTAGCATGGAGCCCTCTGTCACAGGCACAAACTGCCAGTCCCTCTGCTTCTCGGCTCCAGGTTTTTCCAGTTAAACTGCCAGGAGCCGTGGGAGGGCCAGCCCCCGCGCTCCCCGCCAGTGCAGGGCCCGGCGCGTCCTGCAGGGCGGAGGCTCCGTCCCAGTTCACACCACTTTCCACCCCAGTGTCAGTGGCCTGCGTTCTGCTGCAATTGCTGGCGGGACATTGCGTATCCCCTCTGCGGCATGTGTGTGGTTTGACAAGTTTCTTCTCATGAGCAGGCAGGCACTAGTTTATATTTTTGACGGGGCCTGTGTTTCCCAGTGAACGTTCCCACGCAGCAGGGGGGGAGTTTTCCGAGAGGGTGTTGAGAGCTTCCAGGTCTCGGTGCATCCGCGCGTGCACCGGTGGCAGCCTCCCCGGGTTCCCGCCGGGCTCGGGGCTTCGGGGCCTGCCCTTCCCTCCGCCCGGGCCCCCCGCAGCTGCCCCACCGAGAGTGCCTGAGCCTCTTCTTGATGCTCGGCTCCAGGTGCTTGTGCAGGGCTCTGCCCGACGCCCTGCAGGGCACGTGCCACCCCAAGAACCTCTGTGTCTCCTTGCAGACTGGCCGTCTCCTCCCATGGACTGGAAGCCCCGCGAGGGCACCGGCCTCGTCGGCCTGCTCAGCTCTGTTTCTGGCACTTTATACCCAAACAGAGTCCGTAAGCAACGGCTAAGCCCGCAGGCAAAGCAGCCAGCAGCCCTGGGGGCAGCGCTGTTGTCCACTGACAGAACGACTGCTGTGGGGAGCTCAGCGGGAAGCTTGGGTCTAATCCTGGTCCACAGGGACCTGAAATGTCAGGGAAGCGACTTTAACCGCAAGGAATGGAAGTGAAGAAAGTCTCACCAGGGACGTTCACGTTGCGCCCACAGGTCTCTGGTCCGGACTGTTGGTCTGCGTCTTCTTTCAAGCCCTTTTCTACCTGCTGTGGATCTGGAGGATAAACTGGAACAGCGTCGCAGAGCAGGTAACAGACAGTGTGTCCTTTCAGAGATGTGGCCCTCTTGGTCCCCGGCAGGTGAGGACTCTCTTGGGGTCAAAATGGTACAAAACCCACTGGCCGGGCAACTCCCTCTGAGTCACAGAACGCATCTGCTGTGAGGGCTGGGCCAGAAGAAAACCCTCCCTCAGCACCTTTTCCTGGTAACACAGGGCGAGCTCAGTGTCTGCTCAGCGGGGCTCAACCAGGGAAAAACCAGCTCTGAAGATATTTTTCTGATTTGCTGTCTAGGCACCTTTAAAAAAAGTCGTTTGGTCCCTGCTCTGCTAAAAGCAAACTGCTGAGTGCCTGTGGTCAGCGGCCGGTCCTGGGGGCAGAGCCACAGCCTGCGGGTAGCGGGCTGGGCTCCTGACCCTCTGGGCGTCTCTGGGCGAGCCTGGGCCCCGTTACTGCGTCAG